TATCTCGACACTCTTCAAGTTCAACGCCGCCTCAGTACAGTTGGCAAGGATCAAGCTAAGTCTAACGGTACAGCTTACGATCGCACTGCTCTTATCGCTCTTGGGTGCTTCGATACCACCATCACAGCTGTCTTCACTCATCTCGCTATTATTATCATCGTATGCCTCAGGGAGGACTGATAGCAATATACTCATAACATACTATTCACACCGATAGTCCGAGTTCGGACACATCGTAGTAGTACTTCCAGACGGTGGCGGTTGTTCTTCAAAGGTAGAGGGTACCGGCCCCTCAGCTCGCTGCCACTTCTTCCTTCTCCCTGGTAACTCCCGTGACCTCTTCCATACCGACTCCTTCGGCCGCGACAACCTCGCCTTCTTAGCAGTTTGTATACGTTCGAATCTGATGTGAGAATAGCCTCCATATACAATGATCCCTCGGGCCTCACTCTTGCTCTTCCCTGTCGGATACCTTCTCCTTAAGCCTTTGTAACCATCGGAGTCGTCGCTGCTCCTGCTGTAGCCACACCGACTCTTCGGCTTTCTTCACTGCCACGATGTCCTCACTACCAAATGATTGTGATGCTTTGAAGGCTGGCTGACCTCCTCGACTTGCTGATGATGATTTGAAGGCATCAGTATTAGAGTCAGGATCCATCACTGTTGACAGCCACCTTCATTTCGTTGTCTCGACAACATCGTATGAGGTTTAGTTACTCCCTCCAAGGAACTAGTAAGCGCAACGCCATCGAGTATACATCATTGGTAATGAACAACAATATCAGCATGAAATACGTGCACGAGCAGTATGTATCATAGCATGGATGTCATCAGTACGAGAGAGTATCTCATCAAGGCTCAATCTATTGTCTTTTATCCGCCGCAACCTATCCTCCATATCTCCCGCATCCTCTACTTTAGGTATTGACCTAAGGCATACACGACATTCAATTGAGGGATCATCAGGGAGCCATACGACTTGTCCGTTATCCTCTCCTTTCTATCACTATATCTTCTTCTATCCTTGTGTAATCTCGGAGTAGTGAAGCCCGCAGACCGAGCTGTTGTCAATGGAGTAATGCTCCCTGCCCGCTCACGTGGTGTCGCATATTTCTGCAGTATATTCTCGTCGATTGAGGGATTGAAAACGTTGGTAGGAGCATGGCGGCTAGTCCTTCGAGCTCTCCGTTTTCTAATGGGCAACGACCTGAGATAGTAACAAGAGGAGGGTATCGACCTCACACGTTATGAGGAGGCTTCTCACGGTATAGCATCACTCATGCTGGGAGCCCTATCACCCAAGCCATGTTGTGAGTAAACACTCTCATGATCGTCCCAATGGGGAGGGCCTCGATCGCCGCTGTGATGAGATGTGGGCTTCCTATTAGGATAATAGCACCAGGAAAGCTGACCGCCCATGAGAAGAGCCAATTGCTGAGAATAATGATCAGCAGTAATGTAGGCCCCGTTATTAACAATAAAGAGACACTGAAGTTACAATATACGGCTCAGCCATGCTCATCATCATCATCATCATCATCATCATCATCATCATCATCATCATCATCTGAGAGCTCCCTCACCAATACCCCGTATGGTCGTACATCATCACTATTCTCAATAACCCAATATTCCTGTCGAGACTCACACTGTCTAACAGCCTCTGGCCTGACCCTACACTGTAGCATCACTACAACCCTCCGTCTACCCTCTACCATCATTGTATTACTATACACCCCAGCAGTATCAGGATAGGGTGAGCAGTATATCCCATGTTCAATACCAAGCTCTTGAGAGTGGTTCTGCCTAACTCCTGGCTTAATACCCTGTGCTAGGATACCTGGTAGGTTAGCAGCACTAGTACCATGATAAGCAACGGCCCACTCTTTACCATCACTTCTGGAACCAGCCCTTCCACCTAACCAGGAGTTATCACCCGAGTCGTAGCACCCACGAACCGCTACTGCGAACCTCTTCCAGCCATAGGGTGGGAAGTACTGCTGCCCACCCCGCATCTCTACTGTCCGCTGCCCATTACTCGTGAGATGGCGAAAGTCAGTGTTATAGGAATAGTCGAAGATATCCGTGCTGCCGAACCCAGCCGTTACCGTTAAGCCCGCTTTCTCCATGGCTGGCAGGAAGATGTTGTTGAAGAAGACCTCATTGGTGAGCCAGTCATGTGGTCTGCTAACCCTTGGGGTGGCCCTGGTCAACCAAGGATGGTATTGCATCATCACTGCAGCTATTTTGCTGCTCTCATCCTCCTGGTATTCACCTCGCACCTCCAGTGGGTGAGTGATTGTGGCATGATCCATTCGGAAGAGAGGTCGAACAACCATTCCCCCATTCCTCTTTGATGTCATCCACTTGAAGTCTATCAGTATAGTACTACTACTACCATCGAATAGAGGCACCTCTGCTCGGCCCGAGAACGCACCGTTCTTATACAGATTGAATAGTATCTCAATATGGGCCCCTGTACCCTCCCCCATACACTTTACCCCTCGGGATGAATCCAACCATTTCCATCGTACCCCTTGAGGCAGTCGTCTGGTGGGATCCACACTCACTTCTACTGGGGCAATCCTCCTGACGGGCCGACCCACTCCCGTAAAAGAGTTATACTGCATCATATCGATGAAGTTGACGCGGTAATGATTACTCCCGATGGTGACACGAAAGTTGGCGAAGTCAACTTGGCTCAAATCTTGTGTGGCAAAGCCTATAAAGGCCTGGTAAGAGGCCTCGAGTTCCCTCTCGACATCCCAAGGGAAAAGCCGCCACTCGCCGTTCCTGAAAAGTTGTCCTTGGTACACTATTGATATCGACTCCTACCATACCTATTCCTTCTCCATTGCCATATAGCGGTCCTTATCGTCTTACCGTATGGAGAGGTAGCAGCAGTAGATGGGAGGAGGGTTAGACTCTTGAGGTGTGTTAGAGGCTTGGCCTTCCTCGATATCGGTGACACTACAATGATGGGCCTCAGTGGGCCTTGAAAGCTGGCCCCACTAGAGGATACATCCTCCTCAACAATACTAGGAGGAGCGTAACGGGCAGCCATGGAAGGACAATAGCAGCCCATCAAAGGAGAGGGAACGAAGAGGAAGAAGGCATATAGTGATGGGAGGGAGACACTACAGAATGAGACGAGAGAAGGCCGACCCTGAACTCAGCGAGAATATGGAATAGTGTAGGTTCGGCACTAAGGGACAAGCTTACGGCAGAAGGGCATGAGATTATCACTGATCATCGACGATGCACTATCGGGAAGGAAGGTGACACTACCGGAACGTGATGGAGAGGTAGAGGAGAGTGATAAGAGTGGTACTGGAGGAAGGTCCGACTCCCCGGCCGAAAAGCCTTCAGTGTCCCCGAAGGGCACAGAGCGTGCCGCCTCACCCACCTGCAACGAAAGCGAGAAGTGGCCAACCTGAATGAAGTAGAGGTTGCGGGCACTCACTTGTGGGCTATCCTGTTGCTGTTCATCGTTGGGGGCCTGCAGTGAGGTAGGCACATTTGATACCGACTCGAGCCTGCGTGCATGTCGAGATCTCCATAGCTCATTGCTAGATGCACGTACAGATCTAGGGGTAGGATAGGCACAGGGGACCAGCCCTTCTGGTAGTATCATGCGGATGAAGTCATCTCTAGTGTAGAGTACATCACTTGCATCCTCCTCAAGGACCCTCTCATCCTTCTGCCCTATGAGTACTCTATCTAGATCATCAGGGTCATTGAGAGCGGTCGAGAAGTATTCTCTCAATCGTCTAAGATCTACAACCCCCTTCCCTTCGTAATCTATCATACAATCGAATAACCTCCTGAGCTCCATGAGCCTCTCCAGAGATATCTCCACTGCCTCCACTGCCTCTTGCTGTGCATTGTCTCGTGGACTCCGGTGTACAGTCCCGACTCTACTAGTTACAGACTCATATGTTCCTCCACTATCTGTGCCAGCTCGCTGTGGTGTTGACTTCCTACCCGAGTTGGAGGAAGAGCTCCTAGATTGGCCATAGGTAACCAACACTGCCCCCTCCTTCCCTACCCCACCATGCTCACGTATGATCCCCTCAATCACAGGCTGTGAACAATGCGGTGAGAGTATCCTTAGAATATCACTCAATGTGATCAGACGTTCCTCTGCAGAATGAGAGCTTTCATAGGCCCGGGATAAGATCTCAGTATTGACGCCCCTCCCAATTTTTCCTAGTATATCAATGAGATCATCTACCTTGATGTAGCCGGTATTGTCAGTGTCCAATAGTCGGAAGACATATTTTAGCTCTTCCACCTTGTCCATGGTCATGTTGGGTCCATCGCAAGAGGAGGTATGATCTCCGATACCCTCCAACTTGAGCCTTCGATTCGCCAGAGGGCTCAATGCAGTGACCTCCCTCGGAGGCTGACGAGGTAAATAGGCCCTACGAGCCCCTGGCCCCTCCCGTAGTGTATTCATCCACTCCGGCGGATCACTATCATTTGCGCTATTGTCCTCATCCTCCTGGGCGATGTCTACCCCCAAGGCCTTGAGACCAACCCTCACCCTAGCTGCGTAGGCAGCATCTGTAGGAATGGTAGAGGAGGTCAATTCGTTATAAGTGGGTATGTATGAAAACCCCCCAACTCGAGCAACTCCAATGACCACAGCAACAGGGGGAATGTTGGCTTCCTCCAGGAATGTTAACCTCTCGCTTACCTTCGCATTACCACAATACCATGCCAAGCCAGCAATGAGCTCATCACTAGCTACCCTCCCCGTTCTCGAGCCCTTCCTGTCCCTAGTGAGAGAGTCCATGCATTGCTCAGCTACTTCTGCTGTGATACCCAGAGTACGGACAAGGTCAGCTTCAGTAGCATCATTTCTACGTAGACCCGAATGGATCTTGGCTACTTCCACAAGCGATTCAACCTTCAAGACGTCCTCTAGTTTAGAGTTTGTAAGCATCTCCTCTTCCTCCATGGGAATACAAACAACGGGCGTGTCTCAAAGAAGGTACTTCATACCGCCATCCCAACACAATGCCATTATCAATAAAGTAACGTGTGAATAGTGCAACAGGTTGTAGGAAACAAGAGGCTACCGTGCCTCATAGACACAAGGCCTTTGCTTCTGTCTGAGCTTGTACAATATACGATGTCCACATTCACGACATCTAACTGCATCATGTGGTTTGATATCGACGTACCTGCACTTATTCCATGCTAGCCTCATGCTAGCCCCTCTTGTATTACGCGCCACATTCCCCACATAAATAGGTAACAGCCACTTGGCTTTCAAGATCGGCAATCCCTCCAGCAAACATCCCTGCCGTATTGTTATCACCAGCCTCTCCCCCACCGGTAGGGTTATCAGCTCTCTGAAATTATATTGGATTCAACCGTATCGTTATCTAACAAAGGTCTTTATTACCAATACTGCATCGAAGTCGAATCCACCATCGCTCGAGGCCATAGTGTGTAAAATGGGGCTGAGAGAGGCAGGTTACAGCGCAATCATTTGTATAACGACCGACTCTAGCTGCTCAAGATTTGGAATAATTTCGTGGCGCGCGGTAAAATTGCTCCGGAAGAATGAGTGGATATGGTCAGGTTTTTAATCACACTCTCCATTGATCATGACTGCCATCGTTAGCATCAGCCGTCTATTGGATGCCCTTGTTACCGGAGCCTTTGTCGTGTGTTTATCGGGACTATCACTGTATTACCATCATCACGACGAAGGGGCTAGGATGATCTATCATTCTGTTCTAGATACGTGTTAAGCCTCTTCTACAAGTTCGTAGTGGTTACAGAGAGAGCTCGAACTGGAGTCTTCGGCAACTTCTTACAGAACTCTCTACCCTTCAAGGTAGTAGTGGTATGGGGAGGATCGTAGATGCTCAGTGTCTTCTTAGCACAACCGTTTCGAATACAACCTAACCCATATAATCCTGTTTGGTATCCTCATCACACTCTTCACTTTATGCCATCATAAGTATTTGGATGAACTAGAGAAGAAGGAGAGCAAGGGAGGGAAGTCCAAGGCCAGCCAGAAGCAGTAGTGACATTAA